CTTGCGGTTTGACCCCAGTATAGGTTTGCCACAATTCGAATGTCCTTGTCGTCAATACCTGTCTTTCGCAGAATACCTATCAATTGTTCATGATTGACATTGTCAAATGCTTTTCTAAAATCTACAAAGCACAAATACACGTCTTTATCAACGTCTCTACACCGCGAGAGCGGATATTGCTTCCCTATTTCCAAGTGCTTTCCGAAAACCAAACTGCGATCTATCAATATTTGACTAACATTTATCATATATTCTTCTATGAATGATCTTAGTGAACGCTTAGTATTATGATTGATCAAGCTTATAAGCCGGTAGTCATCACAAATCTGGGCATTTGGTTTCTTCGGGATTGTAATAAATGTTGACTGCAGCCAGTTCTCCGGGATTTTACCGCTATTATATATGTTGTTAAAAAGTACAACTAGATTATCAAGGAACTGTTTGTCTGATCTATATAGGATCTTTAATATTTCGCAGGGTACATTGTCCAGACCTGCTGACTTATTGTTTTTTAGTGCTGCAATGGCATCTTCTTTCACCGATTTAAGGATTGAAGGTCCTGTTTCTCCTTCTTCATATAGGTGATCATCAGTCCTGTTAGATGCAAAAACTTTTTCTATGTATGATTTCCATGATTTTAAGATCGTTGATAGCTCCGAGATAAGATTTCCATCGCTATCTTTTATGCTGTTGGGTGACTTATTGAATTTCCACTTGTTTGTCATCGATTCTATTTTTTTGTGCATATTGTAACTGTCGTATTTTCGTTCGTATTGTTCTATTTCCCTGCATTCGTTGGAAAACCATTTTTCTTTTACTTCTCGAATTTTCGTTATTATGGTTTTGTGGATCTGCTGGTATTTTTCTGCATTTTTATTCTTGAATTTACGTCTTTCATCCATCATATCCATTATCTCATCAGTCATCCATTCTTTCTTTTTCCGTCGGTCACGCTTTAATAGAGTCGCGCATGTTGTTTGGATTGCTTCCCTCGATTTATCCCATCTCTCTATTATGTCCGACGTATTCTCATTAATGTCCTTTATTTTCTTTCCTAGTTGTTCTCGTACTTTTATTTCGGTTTCTGGGTTAGTAAGTTTTTTAATATCGATTGTGTTTAAATCTCTAACTCTTTTCTCGGGCCGTTTTACTCTCATGACCATTCTGCATACCAACAAATTGTGGTCCGTAGAAACATCGGCACCTGGGTACGTTTTTGATGATTTTGTCATGTTTTTATATCTTGTTGGTACTGCTATATAATCTATTTGAGTTCTAATGATCTTGTCAGGTGAGTCAGCGGGGGATTTCCATGTGTAAGTCGACGTTTGGGGAGCTTAAAGAGTGTATTACTTAACAGCAGGTTATATTTCTGGCAGAAGCATATAAGTCTATCTCCTAGAGATTACGTCTTTCTAATTTTGATAGCAGGGGAAGACAACCATCAGAACGCAAGATCTCCTCCGTCGTCAACATGCGAAACCCTTGCACAAAATACCACAAAAAACATGTTACATAGTGAAAAATTCTTCTAATAATTTAAGTTTATCCGACTCATGTATATTGACAATTCAGACATACATGATCCATTTTAAAATATACGACTTTAAAATGATATTGTCAATATTGTTGAGTTGCGCTCCTGGGACGACTTTACTTATAAGATAGTTCATTCGATTACATGAAATCAACTTTAACTTGAGAATATCCGTCACAAAAAAAATCATAGCATGTAATTCGTCTTTAAAAAGACAAACACATGACATGATGAGAGTAAAATTCTCCTGTTAGTGATTTCATAATAAATTATAAAGGAAAAAACCAGGAAAAAAACCTCATAATACTATCCCGGCATTGTAAGTATTTGTTAGTGCATTTAGATTACCTTCAATAAACACCAAAATTCTGATTTTATATGTTTCGTTATTTAAAAAGAACATAAATGATAAATATCCTCTATATATTACTGACTTACTAATACTGGTATTTTCTTATTAATAACTTCCTCTTTCAATATTGGTAAAAAGATCCTACTACATTCTGCCGAGGAATTTGCGACACAATTGGCCTAATTTAGCATAATTAGAGCCGCTTCTTTGATTTTTCTTTTTTTAACATTCGTTTATTTTAGGACTACATTTGAGTAGTAGAAAAGTAGAAGAAATAATACTTCGCCACATTTAAATGCATCTGTCCTGCACCCAAGTAAAAGAGAAGCAGTCAACATTGATGCGAATAGTTGAAAAAATGCAGTCTCACATATCATGAAAGCTGAAAATTCATATTTTCTTACACATAATATACAAAATATTATCATCAATTTAAGAGACGACAGTGGTAGTGACACAGATTTAACATAATATCTATGTGATAAAATATTTACACTCGTTTTGTGTGCGCGTGTGCTTTGTGTTTTACTGGCACTGGTTTTCACAAACAACTGGCCAGTAAATTTTATAATGATTTTTTTAGACTATAACTTATCACTTTATATTTATTTTATAATTATTTGTGTTAACTTAATTATTTATGTTGATTTAAGTTGGCAAAAAATGGAAAATTTCTTTATTAATAATTTCATGAAAAAAATTATTACTCATTAAAGGTTATGCATCACATAGAAATCATTATTCAATAATCTTATAAAATATTAAGTGGTAGATAGGTAAAATTAAAATTGTTAATTAATACTGAAAAACAAAGTGATTTTAAATTTAGATATGCAAGAAAATGTAATTTTAAAATGTTTGTAGGTATTAAAAATTATGCTTTGGAGGTATTAAAAAAAGTTTGGATTCATGGCCTTCAAATAATTATCTAATTAATCTAATCTTATTAATCTTATTAATCTAATAATAGGACATTTAAAGTAAAAAGTAAATAAAAAAACTTTCGCATTTGTTGATTTTGTTTATTCCTCCTCCTCCTAAGTGGCTTCTCTATTGAGGTTGGCGATCAATATGGCAAATTTCTCTCTGTTCTGGGCTTGATGGATTAAGTCAATTCCTGTTGTGTGAGTCCAATCTCTGATGTTTTGGAGCAAAGATTTCTTCTTTCTTCCTATACCCCTTTTACCCTCGATTTTGCCTTCTAATATTACCTGGAGCTGCTCAAATTCCTTATGGCGCATTATGTGTCCTAGATATGACGTCTTTCTAATTTTGATTGTATTAACCAGATGAGGTCGTGTGTTCATTATTTTCAATTCCTCTTCATTTGTAGTTTTGCTGGTCCAGCTTATTCTTAGCATTCGGCGGTACATCCACATTTCGAATGAATTCAGTTTGTTGACGTCATACTGTTTTAATGTCCAGGTCTCACAGCCATATAGTAGTAGAGACCACACATAACACTTTGGTGTTCTTAACGTTATTGTGATTGATAGCTTGGGGTTCAGAGCATTTTACGCATGTTCATGAAGCCAGATCTTGCTATTTTAATACGTCTTCTAATTTCTTTTGAGTGGTCTAGCTGACTGTTTAGCTCTCTGCCCAGGTATATAAAGCCTTGGGAGCTCTGAAGGGTGATACCATTGATTTGTATGTTGGGTGTAATTTGTTCATGGGGGTTCTTCTGGAATACCATGATTTTGGTTTTGGAAAGATTAATATCCACACCTAGTCTGTGACTTTCTTCTGATAGTATATTCATCAATATTTTTAGTTGTTCTTCTGTTTCTGCTAATACTACGGTGTCATCGGCATATCTTACATTGTTAATGATGATTCCATTGACTCTGGCACCTTTAGGGCGATCTTCAAGAGAAGCTCTGATGATATTTTCGGCATAGACATTAAATAGAAGAGGGGACAGAATGCACCCTTGACGCACTCCTCGTTCTATGTTTACATAATTGGTATTTCCGTTGTCTGTTCGAACACATCCTGTGTGGTTCCAGTATGTATTGCTTATTATAGCTATGTCGTGTCCGTCCAGACCTACTTCTTTTAGCACCTCAATCAATTTTTCGTGTCTAATGCGGTCGAAGGCCTTTCTATAATCGACAAAGCACACATACAGCTGTTTTTAAACTTCGAGATACCTTTCTGCCATTAGTGTCGATCCCATTCTTTCTTCTCTGGTGCCTATACCTTATCTAAAACCATATTGAGAACGACTCAGGTATTCTTCACACTTATTGTGAATGCGGTTATAAATTACTCGCATAAAAATCTCTTTGTTTTTTAGGAAGAGCTACATATGTGGATGTTAGCCAGTCATGCGATAGAGTGCCATGTTCATATATAATGTTAAAGAGGTAGGTTAATTTCCCGACAGCATCATCACTCAGGTGTTTAAAATGTTCGGCTGTTGTTAGATCTTCGCCGGGTGCCTTGTTGTTCTTTGCGTCTTTTATTGCCCGCATAACTTCTTCGGTTAGAATACTTAGTTTTCCATCGGTATGTATTTGTGAGGGCCCTTCTGCTCTCCGATCACCAAACAAATCTTTAAGATATTGTTCCCATATTTCCTTCTGTTTTTCAGGGTCTAATTCCATTTGGTTTTTTGTGTTTGTTACAATAGATAAATGTTTGGATTTCCATATCCCAGCGACTTCTTTCAGCTTTCTGTGTATTTGTATTTTGTTTATTGAATGAGGTAAATTAGAAATTAATGCACCTACTGACAGATCACTAAACGGCCATGAGTCTAAATTTAAATATAATTTTTAATTCCTACAACCAAATTAAAATGACATTTTGTTCTGTATCTAAATTTAAAAGCACTTAAATTTTAAAACACATTTTCGCTGTATACCTACCACTTAAAATTATATAAATTTGGTTATTATAAGTCAGTTCTTATAATTTTAAATGAAGTGTACCACTTCAGAAATCGTTCTTAAAAATATTTATTTTATAAACTTGTAATCTATACATGTAAGATATATAAGATAATAAAAAATCTAAGAATCGAAAATAAACTCCCACCTTTTATTTAATATTTTTTCTGGAATAAATATTAAGATATAAATACGGGCGCCAACAAATAATACCAACACATATGTTTAACCTTTCAAGATGAAGAGTTTCCTCAGTATTAGTTTTGTGCTTTTTTTACTTTGTTTAGTAGATTCAAAGTCATTAAAACCAAATAGTTTTAAAAAGCGAGTATTTCAGGATCTCTTCGGAAAACTCAACCCAAGAATAACGGGAGATCCCGGAGAACCTCTCATATTAACCGACTTGATTGAAGCAGGAAAACTGGATGAAGCTCAAAATAAATCACTTGTAGAAGGATTGGACACAGATATTAAAAGTTACTCTGGATATTTAACTGTTGATAAAGAACATAATTCTAATATATTCTTCTGGTTTTTCCCTTCACAAGGCAATGCCAGTTCTGATCCGGTCATTCTATGGCTTCAAGGAGGACCAGGATCTTCTTCCATGTTTGGACTTTTTAAAGAAAATGGACCGCTTCTGTTAAACGGTAAATATTTTTTTTTCCTACCGTTACTTACCAATAAATGTTTGTGATTATTCTTATAATAGGCCAGTAAAAAAACAGCTGAAAATTTTTATAAAGGTTTTATGAATGAAAGGTTTTTTATAAAGGTATGTGAGGGAAAACTCACTCTTGCGCGTTTAAAAGGAGATAAGTCGGAAAATAAGGTTTTTAAGATATGAGCTGCTGAAATATTGCAGAATATTATGACCATTTTAATAAGCGTGTTTCAATGTAATAAAGCAATCAGTTTTTATTGTAAATGATTTTTATTCTAATAAACCACAAAAACAATGTTAAATCCAACACGTAACTAGTACTTAACAAAAAAAAGTAAGCTATCTCAATTAACACATAATGAAAATACAGTTAAATCCGTTTACACATCGTCTTGAGTATAATCATCTTCAATATCTGGAAGCACTTGGTTTACATTTGTTTGCGTTGGTAGGTTTTCATAAAACATATGAAAAACGTCACTATTATAAGGCCGCAATTCAATTAATTTTTTTTTTTCAGTAATGGGATTTGGAAATCTACATTTTTTTAAATGTTTTGTTGAACAAGCATTTTGCCTGCGTCTTAAATAGTTCATATAGCTGAACGGTTCGTTTTCGTCCAGAGCCTTTTTATACGCAAATCTGCCATATTTCTTTTGATACCTTAACCACTTCACGTCTTACCATAAAAATCGATTTTCAGATTCGTTTAATTTTTTAGTTTATAATATCTTCTTCAAAAATACTGCAAAGTCATAGAAATCGTCTTTACTCATCTCGGTTACCTGGAATGAATTCTTCTTCTTATGGTGCCTATCCGTTACGGATGTTGGACACTAACATGGCTATTCTGACTTTGTTGACTGCTGCCCTGAAAAGTCCGGTAGTGGTTAAGTTAAACCATTTTCGCAGGTTATGCAGCCAGGATATTCTTCTCCGTCCTGGACCTCTTTTCCCATGCACTTTACCTTGAAGTATGGTCCGAAGTAGGTCATATAGTTGTTCATTGCGCATTATATGGCCCAGGTATTCCAGTTTGCGACGTTTTATGGTTACGACTACTTCGCGGTCTTTACCCATTCTATGTAGTACTTCTTCGTTGGTAATTCTGTCTATCCAGGAAATCCTTAACATGCGTCTATAGCACCACATCTCAAATGCTTTGCGTCTCTTCAGTGATGATTCAGTTAAGGTCCGTGACTGCACGCCATATAAATGCTTTATTAAACTAACAAATATATTTAAAAATACATTTCTTGATAGCCATGAATATACAGGGTGGAACCTCTGGGAAAATACGTAGCATTTTAGTAAACGAACTTTTATTTCCAATTTTATGTCGTGGCTGTTGAATGAATTTCCATCGATTGGTCCCACTGTTCATTTAAGTTTGCACCCAAATAATAAAAGTTGGTGATTTGTGTTATAGGTTTTTGGTTAACTAGTGATTGACCAGGTGGTATCCTATTTTTGCTTATAACCATGTGTTTGGTTTTTTTTATGTTAAAATCAAGCCCAAACCTGCTACTTACTTCTGCCACCCTGGAGACAACTGTCTGCGACCGTCGAGACTTTTTACAAAAATGACAGTATCATCAGCGTACCTTATGTTGTTCAATCGTTCTCCGTTTATAAGTATTCCCTCGTCTATGTCCGTTAGAGCTAGGTTCATAATGTGCTCTGAATATGTATTGAACCCTAATGGGGACGATATACATCCCTGTCGTACACCTCTTTTTATCTTTATATCGTCTCTTAGCTGATCCCCAACTCTAACAGCTGCAGTTTGTTCGTAATAGATGTTGTTTATTATACGGCGATCTCTGCTGTCTATAAAGAATATCACACCGAGAGTGCAGTACGGCTAATATAGGAATGCACAATTGCCGGATTTCACGCCTTGTGCTTGGCGATACAAACAGGTCCAAGTGGTAGTCACAGAACCGTACCCAGATCTCTACGCCGGGCTCTGTTATTTATTATAAAATAATATATTGATAAAATAATTGCCTTCAAGTAGCCAAATAAGAGGCATGAATTTGAATAAAAAGACCTTAAGTTTTTAGCGAGAATTTTATTATAAAACTGTATACTTTATTAAACTAACAAATGTATTTTAAATTACATTTCTTGATAGCTATAAATATACCGGGTGGAACCTCCGGTAACTCGATTTCCGTGCACCCAGCCCAATATCCAAGAAAAACTTTTTCTTTTGTAAATATGTGAAAAATTATCAGGAACGGGAATATCGAAAAAGCTTTGCACATTTTTTAATCCCGGCGATGTTATTAAAAAAACAAGTTGCGCACTTGAATCACTGCGAAATTTTAACACCTACTATGAAATTTTTTTTTGTGGAAATCTGAAGTGCAGTTTTTGTCCTTGTTAAAACATAATGCAGTCTCGCATTTTTTACACACAACATAAGTTTACCTAGTTCCTTGGCATAGCAACCTGGTAGTTTTCAGCGAAACCTTGTGTTATTCCATATGGGATAATGGTTTTCCTTGCCCACACTTGACCAGATGAGCAGGTATAAGGTTTATAGTGTAAGTTATTTAACATTATTATATTTATACTTTATTAAACTAACAAATATATTTTAAATTACATTTCTTGATAGCTATAAATATACAGGGTGGAACCTCCGGGAACTCGATTTCCGTGCACCCAGCCCAATATCCGAAAAGCCCATACTCTGATTGGACTGGTAAATGCATTTTATTGGTTATACAGTGTAAAATAATCGAGGTTACTCACAGATATTCAATTAATTATACTAAAGTCGTCCTCTACATCCGAGATGTCGGATTCGCTTTCGCTACTCTCCCCTGTGTTCGCGTGTATTATCAATTGGTCTACGTCATCTTGCAGGTTGTCCGCAGTCCACATCTCAGTTTCCGTTTTCTCAACAACATGAGTGACATAATTGCGCCAATTTTGCTCTGTGACGCGTGCGAAACCGTCGTCGATCAACTGGCGTACCTCGTCGTTTTTAAAAGTGGTATTATGGGTACCTACATATCGCTTAACTTGGTTCCACACCATTTCTATAGGATTCAATTCGCAGTGATATGGAGGAAGCCTTAAAATATAAACATTATGTTGTGAAGCATACTCATCAAGATGATACTTATCGTATTGATCTTTAAAAGCACGCGCTGCTTCTAATAGCTCGGATTTCAAATAACACTCCTCGAAAAAAAATGTCTTTTTCCACTAGCCATTCCTTGATTGCAGCTTTATTCCAGGAATTGTTAGGGAATCTCTCTTTACGGGAGTGGTACGATGCATTGTCCATTACAATGACATTCCTGCGACCATTATTTGGTAAATTTGATATTAATGTCTCCTTAAACCACGACTCAAAATATGCGGCATCCATTTCATCGTGATAGTCGCCATCATTTTTCTTTGCCAGAAAAACACGCTGTGTGCCAGGAAGGAAACCTCCTGAAAAACCTGCATGCAATAAAACATATCGTGGACCTCGTTTAGTAGGTGCTTTTAAGCCAGTACTTAAACCTTTGAGAAAAGCATCACGACTGTTTTGTATCGTAGTATCGCACCATTCGTAATTTATAGATTGGCCAACATTAACCCACGATTCGTCCAAATATATGATATTGCAATGGTCTTTTCGCAAACGTCGTATAGTTCTCAAATAATTATGGCGCCAATGAATAATATCCTCTCGCTCCACCATGATGCTTCTTCGGCCACGTTTCTTATAAACAAATCCAATATCTTTCAGAAGTCTGTATAAAGTAGAAAGAGACAACGGCTGTATATTCTCATTACCTTGTATGAAGTTATGTATATGCTTTAAGAATGGCGGCAAATTTTTCATGAAAAATTCACAATGAACAATTCTCCGTAGAATACTTCTTACACCCTCGTCATATGTGAATATTCTAGAATTTGATTGACACACTCGTTTTTTACGTTTTTTTTGGCGATTTCAACGTTCCACTCTGTTCTTTTTCTTTTTTGAAATTGTAAATGCTTCTTTCGCTAACACCAGTCATCAACGAAGTACGTCTTACAGCAGCACTTACATTAAGTTGTTCCGTATTTTGTAAAAAACACAACACATTTAACACTACGAGTTTAGCGCAACCGTTAAATAATTCACCGGATTTAAACTTATGGGACTCCATGCTCTCTGTTGAAACTCGGACTAAATTTTGAAGTGTAGTTTCGTTTTCCAAAAGCACTTTCACCCCCTACCCATCCTTAGGATGGGTAGGGGGTGAAATAGGGAAAGCTTGGAGTTTATCAAATACTAATTATGACAAACAAGTTTATGGCCATATTTAGGTGATTATGTTAATGATGGTAATTTGTAGCAGAAGTTTTACAAAAGAAATGAAGACCTATTTATAGAAACAACATAACTGTATTTTTAATATTTTACATACAATAGAAAAAATCTAATTTCTATGAAAGAATTGGAAATTTGAATATTATATATAATATCTATAAATAATATCATTTCCAAGTTTCCAAATTCTTTCCTAGAAATTATGTAGGTTTTTTCTATTTTATGTAAAACATTAAAACTACAGTTATTGTATGTTGTTCTTGTAAAGAGGTGTTCAAATGTTACTCTTATGAATATGATTCAATTGTATATCTCATGTTGACGTTTTATATGCAAAATTCATAGTTTTCGTTGTCAATAACTCATCAATGCCTTTTTATTCTACTGTATACGTATACATGATATAAAATATTTTACTCGTACTGCCGGCAGATGCATTTTATCCAAGCCGGTCCTGTGAGACAATGAGCAATCAACAGCTGGAGAAAACCGACAACCCTGCGCGTTTATTCTCCATAAGAAAAGCATTGCCGTATCTTACCCGTACTGCACTCTCAGTGTGACATTTTCTATAGACCAATTGAATTTAATATTTTCATCAGTTCGTCATGTTTTATTCTATCGAACGCTTTCTGGTAATCAACAAAACATATATACAT